TATATATATATATATATATATATATATATATATATATATATATATATATATTATATATTATACCGAATATCGATTACGAGCTGCCAAATATCAATTGCAGCTCGTAAGTTTACGTATTTTAAAAACAATTGTTTGCTCGAGATTTAGGTGTTCATCTTGTTAAAATACGTAAACTTACGAGCCGTAATCGATATTTGGCAGGCTGACATGAAGCTTTTTTAAACATTAAAGTGCATTTATTAAGGAAACGTTAAACTGAGACATACTTTTGCTATAATCTTGAATAAACAAATAATTGTTTTTAGGTGTTAATCTTGTTAAATTTCAAAGAACTATTGACTAACTGAGTCCTCCCGTGCACGTTCCCGCGGCTGCCAATCGATATTTGGCTGGAAAAGAGTGACAGAATGCTGATTCCCACTTGCACTTTATTACATAACTTAGAAACCCATACAGTACCAGGTCTCCACAGTGCTAAGTCTGATATTCATGCATGAACATATATAGAGTACAGTGACAATCCATATATCTTTCACCACTCGTTGTTGAGGTAGCGGAGCAGCCAAATGTGTAGTGATTTCTATAATGAGTTGTGACGTATCAAATGAAGGAGGCGCCCACGTGTGGCGTTGAAAAGGTACTACAACAGCAATGTACATACTGAATCCTGATGCATGCTCAATAATCCAGGTAGAAAAATCTAAAAAAGTTAAATCTGGTCGTCTGGACATTCAAATAAACAAAACAAAGCAAAACAACAAAAAAATGTAGAAACGTTTCGTCTCTCATCCAAGAGACTTCCTCAGTCTGAGGTGCTATATTCAGCTCAGTCTCTTAAATAGCACCTTCTCGGAGTGGATCAACCAGTTTTGCTGCTGACAACCAAAACCAGCTGATCACATGCTCAAGAAGGACCATCAGCCTAACAATGGATCATTAGCACACTGATGGCTGTTTACTATTCACAGAGGGCTGAGTGATACTAGCAATCACAGCATTGTAAGAGGGGGACAATTGAACACGTAGGCCTCCACCCCTGTTTAACGATGGACGATTTCTTTTCACAAAGATGGTCTCCTTTACTCCTCTCTCAAACCATCGTTCCTCTCTATCCAGGATGTGCACATCTTCATCCCTGAAAGAGTGACCGCTGGCCTGGAGATAAGTGTAGACCGCAGAGTCCTGGCCTTTTTAGATTTTTCTGCCTGGATTATTGAGCATGCATCAGGATATTTTGAACCACTTTGGCCAGGATTGCCTCAAACTAGTTAGAGAGTTTGAGAAAACAGCAAGGAAGAGGGCAGACTACAGGAACCATTTGCGATTCAACCTCAGATGTCGACAAAGTGGCATCATTCCCAAGAGCTGGAACTAAAATCTTCGGTCAGCGGGCACTGGGCAAGCAAGATCCTTCAGAAGGCACAAACCCAGCTGCTGAATGAATGGGTGAGACAGACCAATTTTACTATTGAGGCCTTGAAGGCCAAGGAAGAGTGCATTAAATAAAAACTAACAACATGCCTAGATCAAACCACACTTCAGCAAGTGATGGACTGTACAGATCAGACACGCTTAGCACAGCATGTCAAGTCCAAGACTCGACAACAAAACAAGTTTAACGTACTAATAGCTCATCAACACCATCACTATTCCAATAACAACACATTCAGTGTAGGACAACACTCCAGTAGTCAATTACATGCCAGGGAGACAGAAAAGTGGGTGAAGAATTTATTTGACAGACAGCTCACCCAGCCAGAGACAGAGATTCATGCCAGGGGACTGAACTTTGCGGTTGCACCAAGTAGAATTCCTCTGGTGGAGATGATCACAGCTACTGAGTCAGCCATCCGCAACAACAAAATTAAAGAGGCTGAAGCAGAACAGCTCAGAATCAAAGTTTCAGCCTGCCTCAGCAATGCCAAACCACCACCTTCCAACATCAGTAGAGAGGAGAGGGACGCACTCACCACTCTTAGCAAGGACAAAAACATCATCATTCTCCCAGCAGACAAAGGAAGGTGCACAGTGATTTTGAACCAGAAAGACTATCATGAGAAAGTTATG